TATTAAATGATGATCTATTTGACAATTCGAATGTAAATGAATTGTTGAACCAGAAAGTTTAAACTAATAAGATTTAAACAAGTGAGTTAAAATCAAGAAAATAAGATTCTAGAGTTTTTTATTCACCATAGCTAATCATATGTGAATATCCTAATTGAATTAATCTTAAGTGTTCATTGATGATAATCAAGCCTCTCTAATTTATTCATTAATCTTTCTCAAGCATTAATGAAATATCCCAACAGGAAAATTTTCTACATCTTTGTTAAAATTATAATCTTGTCAATATTCATTAAGAACGAAAAAAAAAATCTATAAGGATTACACAAGTCCATAGATATCTCTATCCTACGGAGTCCTTGTGGTATCTCAAACATAGGTTAAAACAATTATTACTTATTTGTCTCAAATTGAATCCCATCTCAAGTGAGTGGTAATCAATCATTCACGAGCATTAAGTCTAGATTGAAATACTCAACAATCTGAACAAATACCAATTAATTCTAGTAAAAGAAGATTCACATAATCATAATTAGGCTACATATCAAATTCTAGAAAAAAAATTAGTCCATGCTAAAATTAAAGAAAAGCTCAATAATAGAGTTTAGCATCAAGAAATTGAAGAGACTTGGATGAAGGAAAAACTCAATAATTCTCCTTCTCCGTTTTAAGAAAGAAAATCAATAATCCTTTCCCCCCAGCTTCCTTGGTCGAATCTTCCCTCTTTCTTTTTGCATAAACTCTTTTTTCCTACCTTCTTTCAAGCTATTTTCACAAGGAAAGAAAAATCCATCCCGAATTTACCTCGTCAATTCTACAGATTTCAGCCTTGGATTGTGGGCCATTTTTCGCTTGGAAATCATGGAAATTTCAAAATTTCTATTTCTAGGAAAAATTGTAGCATGTTAAATTAGCTTTCCAAGGCCTCTTGAATCAGCTGAATATGACATTGAATGAGGGAGATATGGTGAAAATGCTAAAGACAGTGCATATACACTTCCAATTCGGGATTCCTTCAACTCTGGGATGTCTTCGGCTGATTCGTTCCCTTCATTCCAATCTATTTTCTTCTGATTAGGTTGGTCAAGCCCACTTAAATTGAGTCCTCTCCATAGGCCTTAATCTTTGTTATATTTTGGCATCATTTCCACAGTAAAATTGTAAACACCACAATTAGGATTAACCATTAGTCAACTATAGAAAAATATCATTAATAATCTGAAATATACTTGTGTATTAGCAAATAATCGTGAGCAATCAGCATTAAAAATGCAATCTTATACACTCTATCCGATAGAGAGGGAAGCTAGTGTTCAATAGGCAGTTGAGGCAACGACGAAGAATTATATTGCCAACTTTCACTTGACGGAAGAGTATCAGCGCTTTGAAGTCTATTGGAGGAGGTTTGACTATGTTGAAATGGTAAATTGGGTGGAGGGAGCTTTATCTAGAACTTGATACTGCCAAACTAAGGACAGAGCTCTTGGAAGATGTGGCTCAGATCCCTACTGGGAACATAGGCAAAGTTGATGTAGAAGTGAACGAAGAGGACGCTCTTGAGGATGAAGTTGCAAACCAAGAGGCTCCAACTGTCGAAGTGCCCACTACTGAGGCGTCAGATCCCCAACCATCTCCAACATAGTGTAGATTTTGGTTTATTGTAATTTTGTTTTGACCCTCATTTGTGAAGATTTCCTTTGATAATAGAATGAATGTTTTCTACTTAAATGTTATCAACTATTGTTTTTCTACTTCAATGTCTTCAATTATTGTTGTAGCCTAAATAAAGTCCATGACTTAAATAATTTGATTGTCGAACTTATTTTGTGGTGAACGTACTTAGACATTTCAAACATGGAATTCAATACCTTTTACCCTTCTCCAATGACGTTCAACTTCGTCAGGAAATGTTTGTGATGAACACATCAGAGAATAAATGAGGTAATCCCTTTAGCATCCGATCTTCTTTTTTTAGGTACCCACACTTTCACACGTTGAGGATGATTCATCCATGTAAGGGCTTTTTCCTTGACATTTAGCTTCGTTAAAGGGAGGCATGTGATATGCACCTGAAGAGCAAATGAGGTAATCCCTTTTAGAATGCGAGCCTCTTTTCGAGGCGCCTATGCTTCCATACATGGAGGACGGTTCATCCATGTGAGGACTTCTTCCTTGACGTTCAACTTTGTCAATGGAAGGCATGTGATGTGTACCTTGGAAAACAAATGAGGTAATCCCTTTTGGGATCTAATCCTCTTCTTCGAGGCGTCCACACTTCCATGTAAGAGTTTTTGCTTCAGATCTGAATGAAACATAGTTTTATTTATTCACATCTGTGAACTTTTTACAAGGGTTGAGTAAGATCTTCTAGCTATAAATTACAATCATTGATAGTATATTTTGAGGTACTCAATGTATCCTAGACGAAGTTGTGCCTTTCTGTCCAATTCTTCTATTCAACGTACCAGGTCATAGTTTCTCCTTGATATGATATGGACCTTCCTAGTTCAATCCCAGCATACCTACCCCTAGATTTTTGGAAGACAAGAACACCCTCTGAAGTACCAAATCATTTACCCAGAAGGGCCTTTTTTTCACTCTCAAGTTATAGTAACGGGTCATCTTTTTTCATTATATAGCCAGTTTTACTTGGGATTTATCTCTTTTTTCATCGAGAAAATTGAGCTCACATCTCATCAGTTCATCATTTGATATCTCACTAAATTGTAATTGATGAGGAAAAGGTAGTCTAACCTCTATCGGACTCATTTCCTAGACACCATAGACCATTAAGAAAGGGGCTTCTCCAATTGGGGGGTCCAACTGGCAATTCGAATTGCCCACAACAATTCTGGCAGTTTATCGACCCATGCTTCCTTTGACACGTCGAGCTTCCATTTTAGTGTATACTTGATGGTTTTTTTTTACAGCCTCGACTTATCTGTTAGCTTGGGGATGATGCTATGTGGAGAAATGTTTCTTGATTCCAAAATCCTCGCATTGATCCTTGACCTTTTTGTTATCAAATTGTCTCCTATTATCAAAGATAATTGAGCGGGGAATTCCTAACCAGCATATAATATTCTTCCACAAGAACTTGGAAGTGTTTGCTTTTGTGATTTTTGCCAAAGGTTCGGTTTCAACCTATTTGGTGAAATAATCTATTGTGACAATGACAAATACCTCTGCTCTTAGGTAAAAGGTAAATATATTATACTTGCCAACTTGGACAAAGCTTGGCATGGTTATTTTCAACGCACGGGATCTAGGTTAGCTCAAAATTTTCAAATGATGGGAGTAGGTCCATCACTAATTTGACTTGTAGGGCTGGGCAAATCTCCCGAACCGAACCGACCGAACCGAACCCGAACCCGAACCCGACGGTTCTTGTCAAATTAAATACCCTAACGGATATCTGAATTGAGTATCGACGGGTACGGTTCGGTTCTCGGTTCTAGACCAAGAACCGAAGAACCCAATAAGAACCGAATATTTCTAATTTTTTTTATATTGAGTAAATTAAATTATTTTAATTTTATTTTTTCTAAACAAATTAACAAATTAACGATTTCTAAATCCAAATTTTTGGCCCAATAATTTGTTTCATTTCTAATTTTTTAATTTTTGGTCCAATTACCCATTTTATTGTTTCATTTCTTAGCCAAGCAAGATCAAATCCACTAAATAACCCTAAATACCAACACTAAAGTGCATAACGTTGTCTCGACTCTCGCACTCACTCTCGCAGCCTCGCTAATATTCCAAAACCTATACAATCATCGGCCGACGCTGTGACTTCCGATCGAAGCTGTGACCTTCGTCAACCGAAACTTTGATCGTAGCGATCATTTGAACAAGGTAGTTTACTAGTCTCTGACATTCCAAAACTATTGAATGTATCATTAGTTGTATTTATATAATGTTATTATAAATGTTTAAAATTTTAATTATAGTACAGAGCCGAACGGAACCGAACCCGAACGGTTCCATAATTATATTTGAACCCGATGTTCCATTTACTAGATACCCGAAAAGTTCTGTTCGGTTCTCTTTAGAACCGAATCGAACCGACCCGCGCCCACCCCTAAATTTGAGGTACACAACCGCCCTTGTCTCTTGTCATGAAATTGCCATTGGCCTTACCAACTATTAGATGGGAATCACTCTTAATGAGCAACCTCTTCACTTGCAAATGTATCCTTAGCTAGTTTGAGGCCAGCCAGTAGTGTTACATTATTGACAATGTTACATGAGCAACCTCTTCACCTGCAAATATTTTCTTAGCTAGTCTGAGGTCAGCTAGTAGTGTTACATAATGGTTGACAATATTTATTGACAATAATAATTTGACATTATTATATTCATCCATTTTAAAAAATTTCAAAAGCTATTTTTTCAATCAACTATTCAGATTTTGCTACATTAAACACTGTCAACCATCATTGCACAAGTAAATTAATTGTACATGTTAAATTCACTAATGGTTACCCTACTTTATACTTAGTGTCACCACGGTCACCCAATTTAATTTTGTTTCACCATGGTCATCCAATTTTGTATTTAGTATTACCATGACTACCTAATTTGATATAACGTTTTACTATGATCATTCAATTTCATATGATATTTTACCATGATCACCGAACTTCTTTTTACACTTTTACTATTTTTAAAATGGGTAAAATAGTAACTTTATATTATATATATATATAATAAATTTAAATATGAAAATAAAATAAAAATAAAAACTTATTTTAAAAGAAATGTTGTTTAAATATAAAGTTGGGTGGTCGTGGTGAAATAAAATTAAATTGGGTGGCTATGGTGAAACTAACTATAAAATTAGGTGGTCGTTGATTAATTTAATCCTTAATTGTACTCATATTGACAAATTACTTTTAAAAAGTTATCTATTCTTATTTAAAATTGAGATTACAAAAAAGAAATTCATTTAATCGAGGATAACATGCTAATTAATGTTAACTTTTATTTTATTTCTCTGTTTAGTATTACAATTATTTTGTCCCTAATAAAACACATTTCCGCATCCGTCCAGCGTTTTCTCCGTTTGTTTTTTTCACGTCGTACAGTGATAAAGCTTCTTCCCCTCAGATTACCCAATCTACTGACGCCAGCGGGAGGATCCGTATTCTCAGGTAAAATCTCAGACCCATCTGTATCTAGATTCTTGAGGAATTGATTTGATGGGTTTTATTTTGAAGAGTTTTTATTGTGGCGTTTATAATTCTATATGTTTTTTAGGTCGATCTGGCTATTTTTTATAATTCTATTTTTTGTTCCTATGAACCATAGGAATCGCATATGGCTTCAAAGCGAATCTTGAAGGAGCTCAAGGATCTTCAGAAGGATCCTCCTACCTCTTGCAGTGCTGGTATATTTAATTCATAATTTCCTATGGATAAAACGAGAACCACCAAAAAAGACTTTGTATTTTTCACATATTTTTGTAACTGGGATTTTTTTCTTGTGATTTTTCTTAAATTATTACGAATTGATTTTTTTATTTTTATTTTTTTTTAAATCTTTTCGTATGATATGCTCTGTGTTTCTTTTTTTGGTTTAGTGCCCGTTTTAATGGATTTTACTTCCGCTCTCTGAATTTAATTTTCTTAGGAAAATTAATTTTTGAAAGGAATTTTTATTTTGAAACTGCTTTTAGAGGAAGTCACACTTTTAATTAGAAGAAACACTTCCATAAAATTAGCTAAACATCGGTCCAAAAGCAACTTTTGATCTCAAAAGCAACTTTTAGCTTTTTAAAAGCCTTGCCAAACATATGTTGAGCAATTCTTTAAAGAGGAGCTTTATTTTCATGGGAAACCATTTTTCTTACAACTAAGATAAGTACTCAATTATTTAAGAATAGAAGCTGTGATTTTTTATGGGACTCGGCTGATATATACTCCTTTTTATTTTATTTTATGCATTCATCCCCCCCCCCCCCCCCCCCCCCT